CTGCGAAGGGATGTTAGGTTCCAGGATGCATATATATATATATGTTTGTGTCATATTTAGTTTGTTTTGCAGATATGCTTGCATTATATAGTTATGGTTCAGGTCCAGGAGCTAAAAACTTTTGGGTTCGCCTTTATATCCCAGCAAGCTTATTACATATACAACATTATACAACATTTTGGAATGCCCACAGTCTATCTCATCTTCCCCTAGTATGTATATAGATAGATAGATAGATATTGATTTGCAAATCCACAATCCACTTGTTTATTGTTCATTTGCATACCTGCATTCCATATATGCATACCAAACTAAAAATCACCATTTGCTTTTCCAAACTTTTCCTTCGCAGCAGCTGGACTCCTCCCAGCTCGACGAGCGAGCACACGCGACGCCGAGGATCATGAGTTTGGGCGTGGACGGCTGGGAAAAGCAGGGCATCCCCGTGGCGCGGCTCTCGTCACTGGACGCGGCCATCGGCATCATCGAGGAGCTGAATCGACTCGAGGAGGCAGAAGAGAAGGAGGTGAAGGAGACCTATCAGCGGCTGGGATGCATCAGTTGGCTTTGAGTTCTTTAAACATATTTTAAACACTCTCTACAGTGCATGTAGCAAGTTGTGGTATTAGGTGATTGCGGTTGACTGTACCTTAATCACGGTGCTGCGCGTTTTCTGTAGTTCAGATACGTACTATAAGCTACTAAATGACTATGTTGTAAGGCACTTACAACACTGGCCATGCTTTCTCAGCAGCTTCCTGAGCAAAATTCGGTCTATTTGTCCACACCTGCTGGACTGGCTTTTCCCATTTGCTGCCAGTGCTGAGGTTGCTAGGTTTGCCGAAGGAGACTTTGGACAAAAGTGCCGCGGCCGCCCGAGACCTTCGGGTTTGCCAAGGGGCAGGATCGTTCTTGATAAGTAAGCCATGTTTGGGGGGGCTTGATGTTCAGGATGTCCATCCTAGATGAAGCTCATGATCCTCATGACTTGGTTTCTCCAATTGGATCCAATTGGACCATCCAAACGCCGGCGGGTCGATTGGATGGCCAGAAGTGTCTAACACCTGAAATCAAGCGTTGGCAACTTGGCAACTGTGGAGGACAAAAATCCTACTGCTGCTGCTGGTGGTGGTGGTTCCTTTCCTTTTTGTGGGGGCTTGGGAAGATCTCCAAACATTTGGATTGTGGGCTTGTAACGACTTGTGCTCCTTGCTCGGCAGAGAGAGATGCATTCAAGATGATTGATATGTTTTTTGATCCTGCACTATTCAATCCAAAGTCACTATATAAGGTGTAATGATCTCGCGGCTGAAGCACTACATGATCTGGCAAGAGCTCAGGCAGAACGCAAAGTGGTGGAGTGTGTTGTGTGTCGGACACTTTGTACAGGGTTTTGCCTTTCGTAGAGTCACTTCAGTTTTAACTTTAAAGGTGTTCTTGTGCTCATGACCCCCGCAATACTACAAGGGCCAGTCGTAGTGGATCATTTGCCAACCAGCAGGGTGAAGATGGCTAGCGGCTAGCGGCTAGCGGCTAGCCTTTGCGAATACATGGTTCATTTAGGCAGTTGATTTCCTGAACTTGCTGGGTGGTCTCTAAAACTGAAGAAGGTCAAACCACCCCTTGATGGGTGAACGCATTTGCTGGAAGGCTTTGGAATTCTTGGGATGATGTAGCGGGCACCCGCCGACCTGGACATCTCCAAAGAAGTGATTCGGTCCAATTCCCTCCGGCTTGTCCTGGTCCCAAACGGTCCCGATTTCAAGAGCCATCAGGAGCACTACTGATGGAGCCCCCAAATGCGTTCGGTATGCTTCGGGTCCGATGCACGGGCCAAGACCGCTACAAACCTGCAGCTCGCCCAGCTTGGGCCCAGGCCCTCCGAGTTGCGGAAGGAGTGCTTGAAGCACAGCATCTCAGCAGCTGGAGACATTGAAGAGCTCATCACGAAGCTGGTCCTGACGCCTCCCTGAACTTAAACAAAACTCGGGAGACCCGCGTGGCACGAGGGAAGCTGCTTCGAAGACGGGCCAGGCGGCCTGTTATGCAAGTGTTCGTGGACCAAGGCGTGAAGAAGCCAAAGTTGCGCACAACTGTGCACCACCAAACGTAGACCATTTCCCACCAACTGTGACTTTGGGTGCATTTGAGGGAGAGTTCAAAGAACAGCGCGGAGTGCAGCCTGGCCATGCCCGGCTGGTCTTTCCGTCTGTGACGGTGCTCAGGAAGACGGCGGGCTTCGCATTGCCAGAGGAGACGAAGGCCCCGGAGTTCCTTGGCGGAGTCCCATGTGCAGGGCGCCCGGCCCGGACCGTCCGGTGTGTGTTCTCGTGCCATTCCCGTGACTGAACGGTTAAGTCACTCATCCCAATGCAAGAGAGAGAGAGAGAGAGCCGAGGTGCGGCAGGTGAAATTGACGAATTTCCCTGCTAAGCAGGGCCTGCTTGAAACAATCATGGTAGTGGATGGCACCACCTGTTTGTGGAGGAGAGTTGTCGTCCCAGGGGCCATTGAGGAGATCCCAGGAGTTTTAGAAAACGGCTCCGGGACTTGGAGAACACACCCCCAAGCACAATATCCTAAGTGTGGGCAATCTCTTTGGACTTCTACTCAACCACCCCATGCACATGAATGGATTGCAAATGATTGCAAGTATAGTTTTCAAGCAGTCTAGACATGGAATATCATGCTATATAATAACTGCCACACGCACACATATAAGGGGAGTGGGAGCAGAACTCTCCCAAAAGTGTCTTGAATCATTCCATATCGTAAGTCCAAGGAGTCCATTGGTGGAAAAACGGTGCATTTTCATATCATCATATCACAGGAGTGCTTAGAACATCAGCTGCAGGACTGCAGCTCCATCAGCTGAGGTTCACCTTTCCTCCACGAGAGCCCAAGACCTCGGTGCCCAAGACCATCCCGGCACCCTCAGGTGCAGACCATGGGGGCTCAGGGGGACCGTTCGGGGGCCGGGGATCCACCAGAGCGGAGAATAAGCAGCAAGAGTGTTTCTTGGGCGGGGAGGATGCTGAGCTCTTCAGCATTGGCATTCCAAAACCCAAGTTGGGCAACCCACATGGCTTTTCTCTCGGAGCCTTGGAAGATTCAAGAACGTGATCCCAAGGCAATCCGGTTCTCAAGATCCCGCCCAAACAGACCAAATTTTCTCTCCAGAGAACAAGAGTCATTTGAACTGTGACCATCAGAGAGCTGATGATTGAATGACTCCTATAGGACTGCCATGAATCATGCCAAGGCCATGGCAGTCCTGGTGTGCAGTTTTCATGTCATGCCAGGCACATGCCATGAATGACATTGCCGTTTTTTCGGCAGGGCAAACGGAGCCTTTGACTCCGCTCCGCACCGTGGCTCTGTTCTCAGGCAAAGTGGCGAGCGCCTTCCAACTGCTGGGGCTGGATGTCACGGCCAAGCAGGAGGAGGTCCGGAGAGCATATCGACGGTTGGCACCTTGGTGGAAACACCAGCGGTGAGGGGGCGGTGGTGGGGTCAGTTTGGAGCATGAAGAGATGACATAGTGACTCAAGTGTTGGCCGAATTCACATTGGGCAAGGGTAATGTGCAGCCAGCCCCTTTTTTATTCTCCTGTATGAGCTTCATGGTTAAACTTTGGCACCTCAAGTGGTGAGGGTGAGACTCGGATTTTTTGTTCTGCAGTGTCCACACCACTGTCACAGCATGTCACAGCGCTTGAGTGCTTTATGCGCCTTCGTGCTGCGTTTCCTTTGCGGGTGACACAGTCTGAGGCTTTGCAACATCATCCAGACAAAAACCCAGGACTCCAGGAAGAAGCTGTCAAGAAGTTGCTGGGCAAGGGAGAGTATACACTCCCCATTGCCCACTTCCGTGTTAGTCAGTCAGAGTGTACGTTTTGAGTTTGGGCATCAGTCAAGAAGTGTACATGTGTCCTTTAAGATGTGAGTTTGATCTACCGACGCATGTCTATCTAGGTGTTCATGGCTGTTCAAGGCGTGACATATGTTTGGGTGGAAGCAGCTATTCCCCATGCTGGTGGGTCAGTTGGCTGATTGAACTATCGCGCAAACATGTTTGGACATTTGACAGCACCTTCAACTCCTCCCAGCCCTGGAAAGGTGAAGATAGGATCAAGTGAAGCATTTAAACAAATGCCAGGTGCTGAAACCGGTTCCACTGAAAGAAAAATCATCACTACTGACAGGCCAAAGTGCCAGCCTACCATGCCAAAGCTCCCTCCTAATTAAATTAGATTCTTAGCTTGAATCATGCACTCGGAGCACTGGTGAGGTTGCATGAGGACCTCTTTGCATGGGAAACAACCAGCAAGGTGAGAAAGAACGGTTTAGCTGCTTCGTCAGGATAGATCACAAACATTTTTATCTCAGGAGAAGGTGACAGATAGTGAATCCAGAATTCGTAGGGTCTACTGTAAAGAGCAGCCTGAAAGCTTTACATCACTTTGCGCTCAGGTTTCAGCAGATTACCCACGCCTACGAGACCCTCCAGGGCCATCTAAAACATTCCGCCCGTTGACGTGCAAAACAGAGTCAGCAAGCGCGGGGGGTATCATCGGCCAAATCAATTCTTTTGGGTTTTGCTGAATCATAATCATAAGCACTGCCCCTTCCCTTTATATAAAGTGTTTTTGTTTGTGGGGGAATGGTGACTATATAGAGAAAGGAGATTCTCATGGTCATAGATCATTCAGTGGTACCCTCCCCCACTCCAAAAGAACAAAGCAACCCACCATGGTGGCGTGCTCGAGGAATTCGTGCTGAGCCTGCAAGGGAGGAACCCGCGCCCAAATCCAGGCAATTGACCCATGTGTGAGAAAACAAAGTGTTCACAGTGCCCCATTTGGCAACAACAACAGCACACAACCTCATACATGTGATGTTCTTTTGGTTCCTATCCCCGCCTGGAACCCAGTCGTTTTCGTTTGTCCTTACGAACCCAGGTTCGCCCTGGAACTCGCCCAGAGTTCCCTGGCGCGCCAGGTCAATGTGGGTTACCTCAACTTCTCTGTGATGTCTCCTGAGGGGCCGTCTCTTGGTGTTCGACGCGGCTTCCGCCCTCGGGTGGGGAGAAAGGGCGGCGTGCCCGTCCGTGGCGGGAGCTCAGAAGATGCCAAATCAGCTCAGCACTGACTGTTCAGGAAGATGCCATCAAGCCAAACCAAGACACACCACAGTTTCCCTGTAAATCATCATCGGTGATGGAGGAAGTGTATGGGGCTGTAGTCAGCTAGGAAGGTCAAACACCAGGCAGGTTGGGTGAGCATTGCACAAGGCCCCGGAGGAGCAAGCCGAGGCTGACGCCTCATGTGCCAGATGTCAACCCCAGCACCATGGAGCAGGCGGCTGTGGGCGGAGGGTTTTGGCCCTTGGGGGATGATGAGGCGAAGTGTTTCCCCTAAGCACCCTGAAGAAAGCCAAGCAGGCTCAGGGTCCAGTGGTTCACCTCTCCAGCCATAGTTTGCGGCTGCTTTTGGTCCCCCAACTCAGCCTGCTGCTTGTGGAGTCCCACACTACCGGTTAGATGGTTAGATGGTAAGACTTAAACACCTCATAACACCTCAAATAGATGATATATATATATGTATACACATCAACTTAAGCTTCTTTGTAACCAACTAGGCAAGTTCATCGAACTCGAACTGTCTCTGGTTTGTCCTTGAGGGAAGGGAACCCCAACCACCTACCAAGTGAGCGTCAGTCGGATGAAGCCGTTGCCGTGTTTCTCAGCCAACGTTTTCCGGGTAAGCCAAGAAACCAAGCTCTACAATGATGAGGATGTCATCAAAGTCCTAAGAGTTGTACTCGGTACTGCTCAGAGCTTGGGGGAGGCTTGGGTGCTTTTGGGGACTGAGCAAGTGAGTGGAACTGGTTGCAACGGTGCACTTCTTGTTTGTCTTCGACTCCCAGCCACCTGGTAGGACCAGGAGTATCGCAACGCCATCGGGCGGCAGAAATTCCGGGAACTCCGTCATGAGCAAGTGAAGAGGTGCGGCGTCGCATGCGGCACGTGCGGCGCGAATGCTTAACCCACCTCACGAAAAAGCATGGGGGAAAAATCAACTGTATGTGTGTGTGTGAGTGTTCCTTTGCAATGTATTTCCCAGTGTCGCAGGACAAGATGGGCAAGAGCCGAGAATGCCCTAGATGAGCTATGGCGCTATGTATGATGCTCCTGCACCATCCGTGAACGAATGCGGCTCATGTTGGCTCAGGCTGTACGAAAAGAATAGAGCCAGCTCAGACATAGTAGTCATCTATAGGACCCCTTTCGCGGCAATAAACCTCAAAGTGCCTGCCACAATGCGAGGAAGAGCTTTTGCACGAGTCGGTGCACATTTTTCATGTAAAGAGTTAGTATCCCACAATCGAAACATTATTGTTTGAGCAGAAACACCTCCATGCATCGTCAAGAGCATCACACCTTAGCTTCAACATGAGCAAGCTGGCGCCGTCATTAGTGAACAAATGAAAGCAACCCTTGTCCATTTTGGCCAGCCTTCCCGAGGGAGCGATGGGAGATGAGGAACGTGATACAAAAAAGACACTATATATATATATCATCAAAATGGCGGAACAAAAAACACACTAGCCACCTCACTACCGCTTCGAACATTTCGATTTTGCTCCCATGCTCTCCATTTGGCGCCTCTCATTCCTGGCGTTGCTGAACTCGCTCGTGCGCTCAGAGCCGGTGGTGGCGGTGGCGCACGTGGTGTCGCGGAGCCCCACCTTCTTCGAGGAATGGTCTCCCTGTCACTTGGATTGAGACAGGGCTTGGCTACCCTCCCCCAAAGAATCATGGAAGTGGACAACTCCTCTTCCAAGGGGCCATTGTCCATGATGGTTGGAGGGTGTGTGTGTTTAGCTTCCGCGGAGGATTTGTTTTCGCTTGTTTTCTTTTTTGTGATCCTGGAGGCCTGGAGGAGGTGTCAGACATGTAAAAGGTTCGTTGATGCTGAATATTCATTCGGCCTTTACGTATCCCATTAAATTTGTTTTTGACATCGTTTTTTGACCTCATGTGGACCAACATCGTGCAACACATGCAGTCGTGTGTCGTGTGAGCGGTTATACTCGTGGTGGCTTCGCGTGGTTTGTTGCCAGGGGCATCGACGCTCGCTGCATCGACGTGCCCAGGCCATGCGACGCGCGGGCATGGAAAGAAGGCGTTGGTCACGGGCATCACCGGCATGCAACCCGGTGGTGCTGGTGCCGGACAGGGACACGGACACTCTCCAGGATTCGTTCAGGTGTCAGACCCGTCGAATTCATTCGTTCTGTAGCTATTGAGAACGTGATGTAGAATATGACTGCCGATTTAATAAAGGGCACCATGGAGAAGCACAACCATTCTGATAGGAGGTTATTGTTCATCAACAGTCGACATTAGAACATTTTGAATGGCAACTTCCAGGTCTGCAGTTGCCCACGAACACATGTATAGATGGCCGCTTCGCTTTTTTTCTTTGTGCAAGGGCCAAAAGCCAAAAGGGGAGAGTTCCAAAAAGAGTGCTGAGATGGTTTCCCTCCGTGTTAGTTGGAAGTGTTTTCAGGTAGCCTGCTGGAAGGATGTTGATTCTTCAGAGCTCTTCTTCGTTTCAGAATTGCAATTGCTTAGCTGAACCGTTGTCTTAAGCAAGACGTCCGGATATACTGTATGCCGGTGAGAGGCGCCCACCTAATCGATTTCACCAAACCATGTTCTTCAGAGAGTATGGTGAATTGAGGCTTTGCAGGGAACTAGGAAGGCCTACCCGTGGGCCATGGGTATAGAGGGGCTTGCAATGGCTTGCATGTTGTTTTTTGTTGCTGTCAATGTGAGAAGGATCCACCAACACCAAATATCCAAACCCATCCAACCCCCCAGAATCTACCGTCCCATACAAGCCCATACACAAGCCATAACACGAGCAATCTCTCCATGTACCCTACGCAGACCAGGTTAGGCAGCCATGTGGCAGAAGCCTTGCTGGAGAAGGGCTATGAGGTAGCAGGGGTTGTACGGCCCAGGAGCAACTTGCGGAACGTGGCCGCCTTCCAGTCCAAGGTGCAACTCACCCGGCGGCGGAGTCTGAAAGCGGCGTGCTCTGCGGAGGGAGAAACCGAGCAGATGAGGAAACCTGCATGAAACAAACGGATTGTGGGAGACATGTTTCACGATCCATTGTTCTTGGGCGCTGCTGAAGCACATGGCACATGGCATGATCAGTTTTTGGACCTTTTGCATACATAATGTATAATTTAATACATCAGAATTAGAATCATTTGGTCAATGGGAGGAAGTAACCATACAACTTTGACATGAGAGGACATGTGCCGGGTAACATCCCAGGGGCACTGAGCCGTTAGACTTGGTCTCACTGGCCCTCGGATGCCCTCGGTGCTCGCTGGTTCAACAGGGCAGACATCATGTTGAATCATTTCAAGGCCGATGGTCAATGGATTATGTTCATGCCGAAGACCCGCTTTGTTTCCGTTATTTAGTTCAAGGAGCCTCCAGCCAAGGACCATCCCATCAGAGTCCTCTTTGTTTGGAGGGATCAATCCATGCACTATAGTGGTTCCCAAATGGATAGAAAAAGGTGTCCAATAGATGTTGAGAGGGATTTGACTTTACGATCTATTTTGGCGTCTCATCTGGGCGCTCCTTTGGCAGCTCTGCCTGGGCTCGGAGAGGTGACGCTGGTCACTGCCGAGCTGACCGACCCTTGGCGCGTGCTGCGGCTCCTGGAAAGTCAACGGCCAGACTTCATCTTCCACTTCGCGGCACAAGCCTTCAACAGCCACTGGGGCGGATCACTGATGCCCTGCAAGCTTAGACTGAGCACTGAGCACCGAGCACGAGTGCAACCTGCACTAGCCACCCCAGTGGTGGATTCGGCGACGGGATAGACTATCTCAGGAATATGGTGGATAGTGCAGGTGGTTTTGGGAGTTAACAGCGTGCATTTGTTAATTTATGGCCTTAGACAACCTCCAAGCGGAGGAGATGATGTTTAAAAGCTCCTTGAGGCCCTGAGAAGTCCCCGGAGGCCCTGAGAACCCCCCAGATTCGGAATTGATTGTTATTGTTGCACCGATCTTTCCGAGAACAAATCAGATATAAGGAGAGATTACCTTCTCCACTCATGAGCGGCTCGGTTCCAAGTTCGGACCGAGCAACCGAGGGAGCGGAGTGCTTCCGAGGTTTGTCCTTTGAACAACCTGCTGAGACGCTGCACACCAACCTCATGAGCACTCTTCACCTGCTGGAAGCGATGCGAGAGCTGAAGTTGAAGACAACCTGCTTGAAGTGCAGCACATTGTTATGTTGGGTTTCTTTTACTTGTTTGGAGTGTTCGGCAAAAAGCTGATCTTTCATTACATGACCAGATGCTACTGTAGGCAGCAAGGGTTCGACTCAAACATCTCCAGGGCCATTACAAACGATATCTCATTCTAAACTACACATCATCAACCAAGGGAAGCAAATACAGTGAGCTGAGATGTTTTCGCTGATCAGTTGCAACTACCCTGAGATCCTACACCCCCCTGAGATTCTAACCCGTCCCAAGCCTGGGGCTCCTTTTGCTTCCCCGTTCAGAGGACCGCCCCCCTTTGCCAGTCCTCAGGAGCACCAAGATCATCATCGCCGGCTCTTCCACAGTCTATGGCGCCTCCACCGAGGCCTACGACGGCCCAGTGCCCGAGGAGGCGCCGCTGCAGCCGGTGTCGCCCTATGGGGTGAGCAAGGCGGCCACGGAGATGCCACGTGGCCCCAAACGGAGGGCCAGCCTCGGAGGCGACCTGAGGCGAAGGGGTGGGGGTGTTTTGGGGGACAAGCAGTGCCACAAGATGTTTGGAATTCCATTTGGGGGGCAAAGCACAGTATACAGTGATAGTGTTGCAATTTTGTCCAGTAATGGCAATGGTCTTTTTGAGCATGGTGCGGCATCAGGGGGTCAATTAAGGCATTCAACATCAGCCAGCTGGACTAAGTGGTGTGTTTGGTTTGGATCTATAATCCGGGGGTTGCCCAACCCTGTGTGACATCGAGGTTATTGAGGATGCAGAATCTTGTTCTCCCGACCGGTCGCAAGAAGTACTGTAGCTGTTTCCCTTGCACTTGGCAACTAATCTACTTTTAAGAATTGAATGTTGGACAGTGAATTGCTTGTCATATTTGGCGTTATGATACTCGATGGCTTTCATAGCAGATCCGATTTGTGGAATCCTGCGGGTCTTTGACTTGTGATGGGGCCGCTCTTGGCGGGAGACCCAAGTCAAGACACCCCTAGAATCCCAAGTGGGCTGATACCGGCCAGCCCACTAATGACTCTGATCTCTAGCCAGGACACAAGCTGTGGATCTGGATATATCTGGATCATGGTTCTTTTCTTTCCAGACTCCAAGCGTTTGCTCCACTGACGCATCAGACCGAGGTTGGCCTTGTCCTACGTCCGTGCCCATGGGCTGCACGTGGTGGTGCCGCGCTTCTTCATCCACTTGGCGCCGAGGGGTGTGGAGAGACTCCTGGATTTGCAGAGCGTTGGTTTGGGATTGCACTGGTAAAGGTGCCAAAAAGACCCCCCTTGCAATTTCCCCTAAAGAATCAGACAACTCGGGTTGTCAAAAAGCAGGCCATTCTTTAGAGTTCACCATGCATTTTTTAGAGTGGCAGCGGCGTTTGATTCTTTAGAGGTGCACTTTTTGCCACAGGCTCGCGTCTTTCAGCCTGGAGATCAATGCCAATGGCATCCAATGGCAACGCCTTTATCAAAAGTGAGCATGTCATAACATCACTATGTTCAATGATGATCACTCTTCAAACATTTTCCTATATTTGCCTCATCATCCACCATAATCAGAAGGTCGACAGTGGTCGACAATCCAAACACCTGTGAAAACTCATGTCTTTGTGTTTTTCTATTGTTTTGCATGGCTTTGGGATGAACATGCACCAGCATGCTATTTCATGGGGCCTATCCCCCTAAAAAATCAGAACCCAGCCACGTGTCCCAGTCTAAAGAATCAGATGGCACCCATGGTCTAAAGAATCAGGTCCCAGTGTCTAGAACGCTGGTTGGGCAAGAGTGTCCCCAGGATTTTTCAGGAAACTTTAGGTTCCAATACGGGAATGCCTGAAGGATCCTGGGAAGAATGAAGATTCATGATAACTACCATTCTTTAGAGGAATGTTGTTGCGAAGTGTATTTAGGGCATTTCAGGGATTGATTCTTTAGACATGTACATCCCTTACACAACCAGTTCTAGACACTGAGATTTGATTGTTTAAGGTGTTATACCCGGTTGTACTGGGAGCTGGGGTCTGTACAGTCTTTTTGGGCGGATTGACCCTTTCTTAGCCAGATCATGTGGATAGATTTGAAGGGCTGAGCGGCTGAGCTTCAAATTCAGGCCCAAGCAGTCAACCCTTAGGACAACTTGGCGCCCCAAATTTATATACTAGGGCGTAAGAGAAATTACGTCCTAGTAGTTATCTTGCTTTTTGAGGTCGCACAGATGCGAGTTATGACAAGTTTGAGCATGTTTGAACCTATTTTGTATTAGATGGTAGATTGCCGTTCATCATCATGGACTGGTACTTGTGTGGAGTGGGTGTTCCCATTCTTTAGAGGGAGTCCAGGTTCCCAAGAGGTATGTGCACTGTGCTCAACGTGTTCTGTTTTTTTTTTTTAGGGCCAGTGCCCAGTATGTGTTGGCAGAGTCCTGATTCTTTAAGCTACCATGTTGGTATGGGCACTGTGGATTGAGGATTCTTTAAGGTGGCAGCTGGCAGTGGCCACCATGGCCTCCTAAAGAATCAGACAGTCCAAGAGAGAGGCCGAATTGCAAGGGATTTCCAAAAAGTACTTGGGTACCAAGAAGAGTAGTGCACTTCCCATTGTCAGCGGTAAAGCTTTAGAACTTTATATATAGAACCTTTGACTCCTAGCTATATAGTAGGTCCTGGGCACAAACAACTCATGAAAGCTGGTAGACATTTGGGCTCAGGTTTGTCCCATGCCAAAGCTTCTATGACATTTTCCTTACTATACTTAGTACTATACTTTGGTATTGACAAGGCTGTGGTGTCAATGTCATTGTATTGAGAAAGAGTGTTGGCATGTTTTCCATTGTTCGTTCTGTTAGTTTGCTTCTAGGCGTCGACCATTTCGGTTGCCCCACATTTCTCGTCGGCGACTATTTCAGGTGCCCTACAGAACACCATACCTATTCATACACCACATAAATGAATCATATATTCATATTCCCTTCCACTTTGGTGCACAACACCAGGTGTCTCCTTAGTCCAGGGCGGAGCCAGCCACTTTGCTGTGGTCCATCCGGGCGGGTCCGCAGGTTTGGCGCTCCACGACTTCGCGCGACAAGTGGCCATGGTGGAACGGGGCCTTTTGTCACCCCCAGTTCTCAGGCGAGGCGCGCGCGAGGTGAGGAGAGGTGAGCGAGAAGAAGCTGGTTGGAACATTGGACCAAAGTAGGTTGTAGATACCCACAGGTTCAGGCGGTTCAGGTCCCTCAGGTTGCCATTGCCTTGAACATGACACAAAGTAACTACACGTTTTGAGACTTAAGTATGACATTAGAGGACTTTATTCTGTTTTGCTCATGCCATGCCATCGTGCCTTTTCAATTTGGCCACGTGACGCCATGGCTCCTTGTAGGTTACGGATGTGGTTCTTGAGCAAGCACGGCACCAGTGAAAAACCCACCAGTTGCACAGATCCATCCCTTGGCAACGGATGGACATCCGAGTCTGAAGAGGACATCCTCACGTTACTTTCAACTCCTTTGCAGACCTTGGAGCAACTGGATGATTGATCAACCTGGACTTCTTTTCAGATCTGGACTGCTTTGCTTTCAAACTTCGATGATTGCTTCCTTGAAGTCCGGATCGCCCGACTCGGACCGACGGACTCCAGGCATGGTGACCTCTCCACGCGCCGGGACATCACCGACATCGTGGACTCGGCACCAGTGGTGGTTTGCCTGGGAGAGGCCGGGAGGTCCGCGGGAGCGGAGGTTCGCGGTCCGGCTGAGGGTACCGATTTGAAGGTGGAAGCACCACCGGTCACCAATTGATGGCATGGAGTATGTGGTGGAGTATGTGGAGTGAAATTCTTTGTTTGGTTGTGAGTAGCCACCAAGATAGAGAAATGGCAGTGGGTCAAAACCTCGAGCTTGAAGCTGTAGGTTGACCTCCCTGGTGATCTATCCTGTTCATTTTCGGTGGTCAACCAGGGTTAGTCAAGAGGGGTAGGTTTGTGCACAAAACCCTGCAAAACGATAAGGTCTACCTCAAAACCGATAACCCCAGCGCTGTATATGATCATAAGTATGCGACGAACTCAAAAAACTGTAAAACGATAAGGTCCAACTCAAAACCGATGACGTCCATTTTTTTGTTGAAGAAGAATAAGGAGTTTTGACCGTCCCTCATATATATATATATATACATATATATGTGAGTATTATAAGTATGTAAGTATATATATATACACCTCCACCAGCTGTTCGCCAGTCGCTCCAGTTGCTCCGTGCATGGGTTAGGGAACCACATGGCATCGCCATGAATCACTTCTCAGAAAGTTCTCCACTGCCAGCAGAGTCAACATGACCGACATGAGCTCCGAGACATGCGCTGTCGCACGGTGAAGCTGCAGCGACTCGAGGTGGCACCAAGTGGTACGGTGGTGAACCTGGGATCCAACGTCTCGCCACCCGGATGCACTGCCGGGGGGGGGGCGGTAGATGCGGATTTTGGAAGACCGGGATTGAAAACTCCTGGACTCCTCAAGGACCAGGATGAGCAGCACAAGGGGGGGCACAGAATGTAACCAACAATTGATTTGTCAGGCAAGTGGTTGGGATTTTGGATGATGATAGTGATTAAGACCCACCCCATTTCCAATTTTGTTTTGTGACGCCAAAGTGACCGGACCACCCAGGTATAGCATGCAGCACTTGCTACATGAGATGGTCCGGCTGAGCCCCTCTTGGGGCGAAGGCCGGCGACCGGCGCACCGGCGCGGGGTGCGGCGTGACCGCGCGTCGATTGCACTGCTGCCCAGGGCATAACTGGCGGTTTTCACTCCGTGGGGTGACGGGAGGTAGCAACGTGACCCCTTTTGTGGGATGAAAGGGAATGAAAGGAACCACATGTTTGCATTAGATGAAACATGACTCGATGACATATTATTAATATATGTACATATTATATATCTCTGTGTGTGTTGTTGTAATTAAGTTGGGATCCCTCTTTTGTGGAGTCCCAAGGGGAAAGGCACACTTTCACCTTCGGCCGCCTTGCGACAGGAAATGGTAGCCACCTGGGGAAGCTCCGCCACTTGGACCGGTCTCGCCCGGTGCCGTCTCCGATGCCTGGATCAGTGCACCAAATCTTCTACAGTGGTTTCAGAGTAGATGGCACAATCCCCAAAATTTGGTTTATATGGACCCCCATCCAAAAGACATCTTCGGGTTTGTGCCATCTACCCTGAAACCACTGTACATTGAATCCAATAAATGTACTCGGCAACATTTGGCCACTTGGTGTGGTCCGGAAGGTAGCTTGGTGGCTATATGAAGGGATCCACCGTTTTGACCCCACACGACCTTCCAAACATATAAGTTTGATGAAATGTGGACATAGAGAAGTGTTCTGTATTGAGCGGGTCAAGGCACCAACAGTTTTTTCTTCCGAGCGGTAAACAGATTCAATACCACAACGAAAGCATGGGTGGACTCATTGTTTGGACTCATGTTTTTTTGACTAACCCACTGCCACAATCACCAACAACATCAAACAACAAGAGATAACAAACTGCCTCACTGGCATTGTCCATCTTGCAGCGCCCCCCCCAAACGTTTCTTTTTAGAAAACAAGTCGACTACTTCCCGTCCGAGAACGCCTTCGCTTGAGCGAAGGGCCTGCCCGAGGTTTGGAGCAGGACGTCTCACGCTTGAGGGCCTATGACGAACGCATCGTGATGGCCAACATCAGCAAGGTGCAACAGCTCACAGGCCGCCGTGGCACGTGACGATACGTGACGTGGTCATGACTCGAACGGACAGTGCGGTACCGGGCGTTTGCTTGTGGCAGACAAGCGTGAAGAATCAATGTGGTTGATGGCTTCTTGCTCGTCCACCCAAACCCGTTGTTAAAATTTACTGACTGACTGTTGAAGGATAAATGCTTGAAGCCCTCAAGAGCTCAAACCTGTCGTTAAATTTAACATAATTTAACAATATCGATGGTTGAAATCCTTCAAGAGCTCCTTGTTTGATCATTTCGACCATGTTTGTTAAGAAAAACATCCGGTTTTGCCCATGCTTCAGGCTGGGTGCCACGGCCCAACATCTCACTGCTCCTCCGGATGCTGCTGGATTACTGGCGTCATGAGACGGCCTTTCGCTTTCCGGCGCGGTCCTTCGGGGCGCGCGAAGCGGTGCGGTTCGGCGGAACCCGCGCGGTCGGTCGTGGAAGTGGACCAAGTTGGTGGAACAGGATGGAGTCGATTGATGGAGGATTTTCATGCATGTTGCAACTCATGTCGAGGCAAACCGCTGAATATCGAATTCTAGGCACAGGCTTTGAAAGGGCCTTTAAGGTCAATGTGTTCATGGTCAACTCTTTAGGCGAAGAAGTTGTAGTCACAGTCGTCATCAGTGTGTGCTCGTTTTTGAGAACTTGGCAGGAGACAAATGCAGCACCACGCACCCGTGAAGAGGAAGCTATGGCAGAGCTTTGAGTTAAAAGACTGCTGGCGTCGTTGTGTTGTTTGTCTTGCGGATTTGTTCAGGGTTGGGCATTGACCTCAAAAGGGTTGCGTGCTCCATCACGAACCATCCTGGCAATGATCCTATTGTAGCCTGTAAGCATCATTGGTTGATTCATACATTTCTCTGACACTGGGGCCATCCAACCAACCTCAATAAGTAGCAACCCTCACTAGGCATCCTGATCTATGGGACATCAGGGAGGTCGTTCCTTTGCAAGTTGAAGGACATTGTTCACCGTGCAGCAGTTGTCATGAGGGTTTGATGGATGCTTTTTGCCCCCCATCCAAGTGTCACATCCTTCAAACGTTGAGGTATGTTGAGGTCATTCTTTTGTGCGCTGCCTTTTCCTATCTCCATCATGTGGAACACTGCCTTCCTTTCCATGTAGAAGCTTGGGCAGTGGTGCGCCACACTGTCATTGCTCAACAAAGACCGGTCAGTTCATTCGACTTGAACAATACCTCCCTGATGAAATTTGATTTTGGGCCACCCACTTGAGATCAACTCTAATTTACTTTGGATGGCCCAGATCGCCTCAATATCACCACTACCAGCAGATGTTGACACCTTTTATTTAAATCCCTTCCCTGATATACAGTATTATGTTCTTTTGGATTCGGATCATTTCAGGTTCCTCGATGTCACCCTTGCCATTTTGCTTCCTCCACCACACTTGCTTGCCGCAAGCCGCCGCAGGCCTGCGGCTTGCCCGCGGACCTGCTCGCTCTTCAGCGTCGACCTGGACGTGACCGGGCACCAAGTGCAGAAGGCGCTCAGCGCGTGACGCGGTGTGAGCGGAGCTGCTGAGAGGAAAGCGTCGGACAGCAGCTCCCCGTGGCCCAGTGGGGTATTGCGAGCTCCGGTGGCGTCAGGGCAAGTGATTTATAGCAATTATAGAGCTATGTAGGGCTTGGAGGGCTGAGCGGAAGCTATGTGTTGGAGGTTTGGTGGGGCATATGGGTGTTTGTGGGTTGAGGGAGGAGCTACGGTGGGGGATGGTGGGTTTTAAATGCTAGCTTTGGGGGAACTGTGAGAAAGCAGATCATTGGCAGACAGAATATGCCACTCGCCTCGAACCCCAACACGATATATGATTATAATTGATTATATATATATATATACCCTACCGGTCGTCGACCATTCTAAAAAAGGCTGTTGTCAGGCAGCCATTCTTATCTAACAACCGACATTTCTTCTGAGCTTTTCGAGAGCTTCTGGACTGCTAGGAAGCTCTTTTGCTCGAACATGGTTGACAATGACAAAAGAACTTACAAAAGATATGAATTTAAATCATATTTGGTACCATTGCATGTCCACAGGGCCACAGGGGCATCTGTTCCATTCTTTTCCCAAATCTACCACCTGCTTCGCCTCATTTGCCAATGTGGTGGCCTCATTGGCCCTATATGGAGTTGGTGGAGTTCATCACCATTGAGTTGGGGCCTCACTTGCAGATCTAAATGATTTGTTTCCGGAAAATCATGTTTATTGATTCCTCTCCAAGGCACAACGATGCCATCAACTGCAAAAAGAAACCGTTTGAAGCGTGGGATCCTTGGATTACTTCCTCAGTGGATCTGCGTTGTACCATCCCTTTTGCCAAGGGGTCTATGAGGACCTTGAGTGTGCCCGGCTGAGTGGGCTTGATCCGATAGGCTGGAGAAGTTCGATTGGGGCTGATGTTTTGAATCTCTCTTTTTGGCAAAGACCCTAGGCCCCTGATCACTGGTACTACTATAGCATTTGTTCGCCCCTTTATCAAAAAGAGAGAGTTCAAAACCAAATGCGTGATATCAAATGATGCACCCGTGATCTCATGTTTAAACCTGTTAGCCCCTGGCTCCATCCGGCGCAGTGTGGTTCTTGCTTTTTTGCACTGGTGGCACCATGTCTTGCAGCTCTGAGCGGGTCAGCCTCCTGAAGGCCGGTAGGTGTCATCGGTGGGCATGAATGGAACATGTATTTTGTTTGGGACAATGGAGTGCTGTGTGGGCCCACGGGCTGTCAGGAGTTTTACAGGGAGTGGGTTGAAGATGCTGAATTTCTCCGGCAGCGACGCAAGCTGCTGCGGCAAAGGAAAAAATCAGTGAGGCTGATCCAACAGTGTCCTGTCTTCATGGGGTTTTGGAACCAAGGCAAGCAAGAATTCATGATGGCCTGTACATCCGTTGTTTTTAGTGCGGTGTTGATCGCCAAATAGATATTAATTAATGGGCCCAGTCTCTTCGATCAATCTCAGGTTCCTGGCTTCACCTTCATCATGCGCTACTCCAAGAAAGAAGGGATACAGGAAAACGAGGCGCAGCTATTGAGCTATATGGTATGCATGCATAAGCCATGTGCATATCCCCTTCGTGAGGTCGCCAACGGCCATGTCCCTTCTCTCTTCATCTCTCCTATTGTGTTTGCAGGTGCCATGTCCACATCCCCTTCATGAAGTTGTCAAGGACCATGTCCCTTCTCTCCTGCAGGTGGAGCAGGAAGACAACGCTTCCTTTTGCACAAGTTTCCTGGCCAGCTTTTGTCACAACTTGCCATCAGAGAGTGAAATGAAGGCCAGTTCAATTCGGTATTTGCTTTTTACCATCCTTTACCAGTCATTCAAAGTCCCTGTGCCATGATGTGCATCTGACAGAATATATGACGTATATTTTATATTAAAAAAAATTGGTAAAGTTCACTTCCGCTCTGTGTTCAGGCAGCTCTTTGTTGGACAAGCGAGCATTTTGCCATCGACCAGTTTGAAAACCATGCAGCCCATGTGGCCACTTGGATAAAATACTTTAAAGATTGCATTCTGAAACCAGCATGCGGGCAATCAACTATATGCGTTTCCATCCTTCCAGGCATGGGCCTCGGTAGAGGCAGGAATCCAGAGGTCCTTCATGAGCTACTGCCTTCTACGGTTCCAAAAGAATCCACAAGCAAGGCAATTTCCTCAACATCTTTGAATGCTTGATGTCACAATCCAAAAGGTTGGATTGGTGCATCATGCATTGATTGGCCAGGTCATCGAAGTCCAAAATGGCCATCATCAAAGATGTCATTCGCAAGAAGTTGGAGGTGCAGTGTGCCAAAACCAGCGTATCAATCTAGACTCCATGATAGCACGCATGCTTGTATATTCCTGTAATGCACACCTGCCGTCAGATGGAGGGCATGCTCACCGACTGTGGTAAGAAGGTGGCCAGCCGGGGGCGATCAAAATCTAAGGCTAGGGTCATATTTCTTTCTGTCGAAGTCTGTTTTCAAGCAAGCAGGCCAGAGCACTGCAGCATGTTGTAGTTTCAAAGCTTGGCAGGAGGCCTTCTATGTGCAGGAGGCCGATCTCAGCAACATCAGGGAGGAGGAGGAGGAGGAGGAGGAACACGAGGTGGAGGTCGTGGAGATCGTGGAGACTGGTCTAGCGGAACCTGCAGGTTGGGGTGCAGCTTTTCACTGTTTTATGCCAAATTGTGCTCTGGGCAGGTGTGGCTGAAGTCCAAAGAGCAGATTCCATCAATCCTGACAACGTGGATACTTTGCCACTCCCAATGGAGACTGAAGAACCTGCAGGAGACCAAGGTGAGCACAAGGACATTGAAGACGAAGGTGAGGAGGAGAAGCCAATGGAGGTTGACGTGCACGAACCCAACAGTGCACAGCTTGAGGTGATGGAGGTGCCAAGTGGCCAGAAGACAGAGAAGCCTGAAGAGCCTCATGAGGTCCAGGAGGGCGAGGCAGAAAAGCCTGACAAGCCTCATGAGGTCCAGGAGGGCCAGCCAGAAAAGCCTGAGGAGCCTCACGCTGAGGAGAGCAAGATGGAGAAGGTTGATCACGTTGCTGGCCAAGGGGCTATTGACCAGGCTTTTTTGCATGACAGCCAAATGCCGGACGATCGTGACGATGATGAATCATATCAGACCCCGGATGAGGCTGGTTCTGATCCCACAACGTCGACTGCTACAGGTGGAGCAAGTGGAGGAAGTGGAAATGCATCTGGAGAAGCGGCGGCTGAGGCAAAGGAGGAGATTTGGGAAGACTGGCATTGCTCTGATGGCGAGGATGCGGATGGCACCAAGAAAGGAACTTTCAAGGACCGCAAGCCTTTGCGTGCAACAGCACCTTTGCACAATGACAAGGTGGTGGATAAGTGCATGCTGCTGATGAGGGAATTGCTGAAGACAAGAAACATCCCATGTTCTGAAGAAGACCTTCTAGAGGCAAGCCGGTCGTCAATTGTTGCCTTCTTCAGTTCTTCTATTGGATCTTGAGTTAAACATACCAGTGCAAGCATTGACTATTTGAATTCTTGGTCATGTCCAAGGCACTCCAACTCTGCATTGACTCTTGTTCCTGGCAGGCTCAACGCAAAATGAGGCAGGCTGCAAAGGAGATGGAGGGAGCAGACGAGGACCATGAGGACCCTGACAGAGCTCTCAGGGAGGAAGAAGATTCTGAAGAAGGTGCGAAGAAGGGCAGAGGCCGAGGACGAGGACGAGGGCAATCAAAGGGGAAAGGAAGAGGAAAAGCCAGGGGAAGATCTGCGCAAGAGAAGGCAGCCAAGACCCCACCAAAGGCAAGCAAGAGAAAGCGTGACAAGGAGGCTGAGGATGCAGAGGAGCCAAAGGAGGCAGAGGAGCCAAAGGAGCCTCATGAGCCAGAGGCACGTGAAGAGCCGCAGCCAAAGATCAGCAAGACCAAAGCGAAGCAACTCATAGCTTCGGCTGAGAAGTGGAGCCCCAAGAAGCGCCATGCTCCGAGCGGAGACGTTGAGGAGAGGCCATCGAAGCGGACCAAGCAGGCCTTGGAAATGGCAAGGGGTGCCAAGGCTGCGAAGGGAAAGCCTGCGGCCAAGCCAGTGGCCCGCAAGCTGACTCCAGCATTTGATGAGGCTGCTGACTCAGAGATCGATGGAGGGGCCAAAGCACTCAAAGGAAGAGAGGTAGCTGCGCCCAAGGCAAAGGCAGAGCCCAAAAGGAAGCATAACAGTGGTCCTGAGGCAATGGGGTATGGGGACAAGTCCATAGGGAAGTTCCTTGATACCCCCCACAAAAATCAGTATTTCATCCAGCTGGTCCAGCACACCAAGAAGTGTGAGACATTTGGCTGAATCACAATCTCACAATTGTTTTATTCATCAGCTTGCTTAACTCTGGAGGTGGGCTTCAGCGAGATACAGGAGGTGGCACTTCGTGATCCCGTTTACTTCAAGCTTCCGAATGGTGCTGACGTTGAAGAGTTTCTTCTAGAAAAAAGCCAGATGGCTCTGTCAGAAAGCTACTTTGCATATTATTTATTGTTTGAATTCTATAAAAAAGTATAGTATGGATGTGCATTGATTGATATGCATGAATTGAATTAGATCACGTATATTGCTGCTGCATGGGAGATCAATCTGAGGTCCTTCACTCTCTACCTTCCCAAGGAGTGCTTGAAGAAGTACTGTCCGAAGGAGTTTGCGGCACCAATTGGGGTTTTGTGGCATCCTCAAATATATTTATTGGAATGAACATTGGGTGCTACACCCATCAAATTATATGCAATCTAATCTAAATCTAATCAAACAATTACAATAGTGCATGCAACCCGGCTTTGGCCAAGGATGTACACCCGATCCTACTATGTCAAGCCAGTGCCGGAAGAGCGATTGCATGCAGTGAACCAGGTTTTTGACCTGAAAGTTGCTGCAACTCGGCTCATATATGGTTCCCGGTGTTCCTGGATCCCATATCATGCACACAAACAAGTGTTATGTTCTTATGTTCCTACAAGTGCTGCGCGCCCGGA